TCCGAGAAAAGGACCACGTCTTTAGAATTTTCAATATGAGTCTGTTGCTCTTGACTCTGTTGGGGGAACCCTGAACCCCAAAGCCCTAAACCCATCTAAACCCGAATCACAAAGCCCTTAGCCCGAAGAACCCGAAATACCTAAAGCCTAAATGCAAACCCCAAACCCCTAAGTCCCTAAACCCTAAACCCTAAAGCCCCTGTGAGGGCGCCTGGGAACGGCTCACTGCCACAGGGGCTGCGCCCGGTCCGCGCTTCTCCCAGGCGATGCAGGAACACCCCACGGACCCTGGGGGCTGGGTTTAGGGTTATTTGGGCTGGGGGTTTAGGGTTTAGGGTTTGGGGTTTAGGGTTTAAGGGTTTAGGGTTTAGGGTTTAGGGCTTAGGGGTTTAGGGCTTAGGGTTCAGGGTATATGGGGTTTAAGGCTTAAGGTATATAGGGTTTAGGGGTTTTAGGGTTTAGGGCTTAACGTGTTTTTGGGGGTGGTTCGAATCCAAGGTTCGGTTTTTTTTTTGTGCCGAGGACGGTAGATGGTAGTATGTTATAGTAGGTCATAACATACTGTAGTAGGGCTTAAACCCTAAACCCTAAACTCTAAAACCCCAAAATCTGTTGAGGACAACTCCTTCTGGCTGCATGGCGGCATCGGTGGTGGACACGGCGATGGCCCGCACAACAGTTTCTACGGAGCCGCTTCCAGGCATTCTCCGGGCTTGTGGATTTGGGGCCTGCTGGACCCCCAACCCCAAACAACATGCATATACTTAAAGACCCTTAGAGGCTTAAACGTGAAGCTTAAAGCTTGACGTAAACTTCAATCATAGATACTAGACGCCCTCAACCCTCCCCCGAACCCTCTCTTGCTTGAAGAATAAGCCGACTTGTCAGGAGGGTGATAATTCATAAAGTTATAAGTAGGTGAATCACAATCTTCACCATGCATAACCCCGATTAAGGTACCTGTAGCTCTACGTTCTTGTACCTACTCATACCACCCGCGTGAGCAGATTTTGCTTGCTTGCGGTGTTTGCATTTGTTGGACCCGCAAACCCTCCCCACTCCCACCGCTCAACCTCAAACCGCGAACCTTCAAACTCAAATCTACAGCTTAAACAACCCCAAAACCAAAGCCGCAAGAAGCCAAGGACCTTTGGCACTGTCGTCACTCGGACCTGTCTGAGCACTTTTGCTAGCTTTGGGGATGTTTTCCTGCAAAATGGATCCCCCGCCTAGAATTTTTGTTCACCGAAACCCTGCAACGTTGACCCTTAACGTTTGGATGCAGGTAAAACACCCTAAACCCTAAACCCTAAGCCCTGAACCCTGAACCCTAAACCCTAAACCCTAAACCCTAAACCCTAAACCCTAAATCCTAAACCCTAAACCCCAAAGTGCTCCCCCGAAGATGCCCCAAGCCCTGAAGCCTCAAACCCCCGGCCCCCCGCCTGCAAAACCCAAAGCCCAAAGCCCTGAACCCTAAACCCTAAACCCTATAAGACTTAAGCCCTCATCCTAAACCTGCTCCAAAAGCTCCGAAACCGAAGCGCTGGCCCTACTCCAAGCTTTCAGCTCTCAGTTCTCAATCTCCTGAGCCCTAACCGTTCTTTTTATAAGGGTGCCGTACTATATTTGGGACCCTAATTTAGAGAACTACCCAGATCATGACAGAGAGGGACAGAGAGGGAGAGAGAGAGAGAGAGACAGGGAGAGGGAGGGACAGTCAACAGTTGCATCGAGGTGGGAAACCAGAAGGGATACTGCAATTTCAGCTTTGGGTCTTGAGTCATCCTAGTCCGCAACGACCGACAATAATATAAGAGAGAATAGCAAAGTGTGAGTGTGCCTCTGGCTCTAACAGAGGGGAATGCCTGAGATTTCAGAATAGTCTAGTGTAGCTAGACAGCACAGAAGGGAAACACACCAGAAATGAGCAGCTCGGGGTTTCGAGCGGTTGTGGTCTGAATCCATCGGCATAGGCAGCCGCCTAGCCTTGTCCGTGTCGAATCAAACAGCAGTCGAAAGATGCCCCTTCCAATCCGAATCCCGCTCACGCCGTGTAGGTCTATCCTTCTTTCTGTCCCTGGTGCTATACATCCTTCACAGATTCTCGCTCCCTCTCTCTCTTTCGCTCTCTCTCTCTCTCTCTCGCCTGCTTTGTGTCTCTTTCGCTCTCTCTGGCTTTCGCTGCCTATCTCTTTCTCACTCACTCACTCTCTCTCCCTCTCTCTCTCTCTCTCTCTCTCTCTTTCTGATAGGAGGCCATTGGGAGCCAGAGATCGGCAGCTGCAACACAGATGGTGCCATTGCGACCGAGACTCTTCGAGACGCAGCAGCTTGCAGCAGCAGCAGGCTCCCCAGGCCGCCAGGATGAAGCAAGCTCGGAGACGCCGAGCCCCGGCTACGACTACAGCCCCACGGAGGTTGCATACCTCAGAACGGAGAAGCCCGTGCGAGGGGTTCTCCAAGTGCACAAGGCAGGCCGGGTTAGCTGTTGAGAGTCGGGTTTGTTGGGACGTTACGCAAGGCCTTGCTTCCCCGCGAAAAGTTTCTGAGGTGCCTGAGCAAGCTCGTTTGCAAGGCTATAGATATCTGCTGCGGGCAGAAGAAATCTGGAGCATGACGAAGCGAGCTCAGTATTTCACCAATTGGTGCACAAAGCTGCCGCTCGACTGCACTCTTCAGCCCGGGGAGCTCTGAAGTTCCAAGCCAAGTTCTTGCCAAGCATCAATAATGTCAGGCAGGACGGTCTTGGCCTCGATGTGGCGGAGGCATGGAAAGTGGACGTGGATGTTCACATGGTTCGCAAGGCTTCTTACAAAGGTTCCGGAGCAAAGGTAGATGCGAGCAGAATCAAAATCCCTTTTGATGGGCTCACGTTGCCCGGAGCCTTGTTCACAGTGTCCCGACAGCACTCATTTGGTTTATCATGTCGGAGAACTTCAGGCTCGCAGTCAGGTGTGTCGGGAATGATTGATTCTGAGGTTGCCTATGTGCTTCAATCGAGGGGCTGCAAGCCTACGATTCAACAATCGGCACTCTCTTGCCTCGCGGCCTTGATTTCCTCGTGCATCACCGAGCCGCTCAGCGTCGCTCTTCTGCAGAACAACGAGAATTGCCGCTTGTCTCCTTAGCTGTCTTGTGCTGGTAGGATGCATTCACACACCGAGGCCGTCTGAAGATATCCCGGGGATATGTGACTCTGGAAAGCTGGCGAAACTTCCTGGACTTCGCTGGCTTGCAACATAGGCTTTCGTTTGGCTTGTGTGTTTCCAAGATGCCACAATCTCGAGTCTCACGTCTGCCTGCAGGTGGCAAACTTGCAAACTCCTGGCGAAGGAGGAGCAAGATGTCGACACAGGCTGGCTGGTTGTTTCGAAACAATGAATCAAGCCGCCACGGCTTGTGTGACTCTGTTCAATCGCTACTCTCCCTGCCCAGGCATCCCCCTGGGGACCGCTGCCTGGTTTATTCTTCGGCAACCTCATCAGGAGATTCTTGAGGACGGAACACGGAATGCATTCTTAATGCCTAATATACTAGCATTTCAGTATGAGCATAGCAGCAATTTTTGTAAATATTAAGACTCCACAAAACATCTTTATCCTAATCCAATGGGGCCTTGGCTTAGCCAAGGATGTGTTTCGTCAACATGGCCGTCTTGATTCTTGTCCTACTTCTTACACACTGGCTCCATCGGGGGTCCTTAAATAATTCATATGGGGTCCCTGATCTCAAATTAAAAAAGCCGGAGCAGCACCAACAACAACGACTAGTTCTAGTACTAGTACTAGTACTACTGCTACTACTACTACTACTACTACTACTACTACTACTACTTCTACGACGACGGCGACTACTACTCCCACTGCAACTACTAATAATCATAATAATACTACCGCTACTAGGATTATTGACTGCTACTACTGTGAAGAATCATCACAATTATCACCATAATTTGCAACAAAAACAATAGCAATATTATATGACTCAATCCGAAGGAACAAAAATAAAAGTAGGCTTTCACGCTAACACTGGGTTTGCTAAGGGTCCTCGTCGCAATAACAACAATCCACAATTATGTCCTATTTGAGGCTGTAACACAAACACATGCTAGCAATAAGTGCAATGACGATAATATTTCTACGAGAAATTCAATAACCCCCACTGAAACCTTCGGCCCCGAATTATTGTTGCCCCTGCAGGAGCAAACAAGTTGTGCGAGGCTGCAGAGGAGAATGCTTCATCAATTGTGCCAGGCAGCAGAAAGGCAGATGCCGTCGATCCTGGCGGATGAAATACCTCCGCTGCAAGCTGATCATACATTCCATCCATCAACGAAGACGCTTGGCATCAGCAACAGTCATGCCCTTTGAATGCTCCTGCAACGGGTCCTCACCTAGAGCCGGAACCCGGCCTCACGCAGGGATGGCCGCAAGCTCCGGGGCGATTGCAAGCCTCGGGCCGAGCTTGCAATTGATAGGTTCATCTCCCGAGGAGGGGGGTTCTGTTCCAGCTCCATGGACTGCTCCATGAAAGACATGGGGCTTGAGTCGATGTGCCCGACACACTACTCGAGGACCCTGCACATGAACTGCCTTGTCCCAAACCCACGGACTTAAGTTAAGTCGGCGAGCCTTGCTATTGTGCACTCTGCAGGACGACGTCCGATTTCATGTGTAGATACAGCCGCAGGGCCGAGCTCGCCATCAAGCAGGCAGATTCATATCATACATTAAACAAAGAGGAGCTACGTTCACGTGTGCCCATCCCAGAGGCCCTCGACAACATGGACATAAAGTCTTTGGCTGTCCTTTGTGATGCCTCGCCCAAAGCCAAGATGGATGCTTCCTGGCTAAAATTGGACTGTGTTTCATCCTCCCTTGCGAAATCAGAAGAAGTAGCAGGTTTGGCTTCCAGTCTTCGCCGTCCCCGGTTTGGTCTCGATGGGCACCCTGCAGCGGCTCTCCACGCTCCTGCCTTCCAACGCCGCGGCCGAAGAAAAGCTACAAGTGGCTTCAATGGTTGCAGACTCCCGAAGCAGCACCCTCCTTTCCGCCTCGAAGCAGACTGAACTGAAAAAGAAGATGCAGCTCAGCCTGCTTTAAGCTGTGATTGCCTTGCAAACTTCGTTTCAGCTGCGATAGAATCACGATCGCGAGTCGAGGCCGAAAGCTCTCAGCAGCATCCGCTCAGAGCGATTGAGTAGCAGGCAAGAGCTGAAGGCCCTCGCGAACGTGCTCTCACACGTCAACATAAGTTTGGACGACTGCTTCCCCACGCTCCCGCTGCTTCCGGCAAAGGAGACGGAAACTCGTGTCATCCACAAGCAGGACTCCGCAAGCTTGGCCTACCTGCACGACCGCGAGACCGGGCAGAGCAGATGGGACGTCCCCATCAAAACGGACCACCTGAGACTCGTCCTTTGCCCCGACCAAGGAGGACCCATGTTTTGCAGCTACCAGTTCTTGGCTCACCTCGGGGCGAGTGTCTCCTTGGTGAGAGACGAACTGCTGCTTGCTTGCATTTGTTGGCTCTTGCAGTAAGTTAGCAGAGCATTGAGTGTTCAAGTAACGCCAACTCATCGCACTTAGGCACAAATTGCACGCACACCAGGGCAGAGTCACCTCCTGTTCCCCGGCAGTCAAGCGAGCTTCAGCTGCAACGATTGTTTGTTTTAATGAACTATTCTTGGGATGCCAGCATTCTGATCCAGGAATGACTACTTTGTGTGGCTGGCTCTTCCGGGCGAAGAAGTCTCCTTGGAACACCTCCGGATTTGGCTGCACCCTCGCCGAGGCTGGAGCCCGATATCTAGACATTGCAACTTCGCTGCAGCAGTGCATTACATCGCCTATGTTGTGTGTGTGGTTTTTTTTTCTGAGTTTGCGGTTTTTTTTTCTGCAACCCAGCACAAACAAAGGCCAAGCCCGACGATGTGCTCATGGAAATGTTCCAGCAAGACATCCTCAAAGAGACGCTAGGCTTACCGGTGCATTAATACTTGACGCCTTTGTGTATTTGCCTGACACATTGCTAGCCCAGGAACGATATGGAGATGACTTCAGACAGCCAGCTGAACTTCAGCAGGGTGATGGATATCCTGGGCACAGTGTGCAAGTCTCTTGGATGCACAGAATTTCGCATAGATCGCTTTTATGCGACCACTGCTAAGTTACGTTGTTGTTGCAAGGTTTCATTCCGAGACATTCTCGTGGTCGAGATGGTGTTCGTGGGCCCACACGTCCCAAAGGTTTCAGATGACGGCGAGTTTGCTCCTCATCCTCTGGGCGGCTATGGAGGCACCGGGTCCTGATCCTAATCAATCCAGAAATCCAAAGCTACTGCTGCTGAGTCTGAAACAAGCATCAATATATCTAAAACAGAACTCCATCTCTTGAGGTCGGAAAGAATCCTTTCAAGATCCTGGAGAATGAAGCCGCCGGGAACCAAAAGTCCTTCGACAAAACCGTCGACCTTTGTGTCAAGGCCTTCCTGATTCCTCAAACAATCAAAAAATCTGTGCTCCGAATTGGAACAGCCCTTAAACCCTAAACCCAAACCTCCAGGCACTGACGAATGAGGAGAGCTTCGGGATCTTCCGGCTCGCCCGCAACGTGCTGCAGCCCTTCAGAGAGACGTGTTTGGAACTGGTTCCTCGCCTGCAGCCTGATACTGCCTATCTTGTGATGACATGTAGACACGACGTCTCGTGAACCAGAGAAATGCGTCTGATGCCCGCAACTAAGCAAAAAAACACCAACACAATGAATGCCCACCGCGACTACACATTGGAGATGAACAGCGGCAGCTTAGAGAGGAAACTCAGTGATTTGGCCAGCTCGGCCTTGAGCAGCCGAAGTCTGGCAATGATTCCAGATGTGGCGGCCCCGGATGCATCGCAGGCTCGCTTGGACCAAATCTAGTCTAAGAACCACGTGTCGGTGTTATTGAGACATTATCCTATTTTCTCGCTAACCTTCAGCCACATGAATAAAAGGTTTGGTCTAAGCTCTTTGCAATAATGGATTGCACCGGCGGCTCCCGCACGCTGGGTGACTTGAGAGTCCAACGTGGAAATCATGACAGCAGCTTTGTCCCAGAATGAGAATAGCCGTCTCAAGCATCAGAACCCCCAAGCTTCCAAATATAACACAGCATCATGAGCAAGAATCGATACAAGGTCCGGTCGGTTATTCCGAGTTATTCCTCATTATTTGCTGTTATTGCCGGGTTCTTCTTTACATCTTTCGAGGTCCTCAGACTCAAGTTTCGAAGATGCTCCACGTACGAGAGCATTCTGAAGGAAGGTCTTGGGCTCTACCTTTCGACAGTGCACGAAATGATGCAGTACACTTTGTACTTGAGAAGTGCCCCGCACTGTGCAGCGGCTCTCGTGTCGGGGCAAGAAGCAGACGATGGCCAGACGAAGCAAAACATTCTGAAAAGGATGAAAACAGAGTGGGAAGTCGTGCTGCAGATGGAGTCAAGGCCGGCATCCGCTGTCATTTTGACAGCGAGCTGCCACCACACGCGATACCAACACTACCGCGAGGTGATGTCTTGCTTGGAAAAGCACGACTATGTCATGACAGCTGAATGCAAGCTTTTGCTATCGGCCTGGAACCCCTCTTTCTGCCAAAGTGCTTCCCTTGAGAGCATGTTTGGAGAAATGAGTGACGCCGTCAAGCGGGCGGGGCGAGCTGACTGTGGAAGTCTACCGAACCTGCACGCCGTGGGGGTGCGAAGCTTGTTCCGTCGAGTATGCAAGCATGATGGCAGCCCGAAGGCCTTGGAGCTTCAGAAAGACGACTGGGTTGGGCCTCAAGCTGCAGGTGTCAAGCCAAAGGTGTTTTCGCCGACTTCGGCTCCGACTTGTTTCGTGGCAACATAAACCAAAGACGCTTGTAGTAAGTGTGTTCTTCCGAAATCGTGGCCCATTCAGTTTCAATTCTAAGGCAAGAATGTTACGGCAGACAACATTCTGAAGAACTTCCCGAGCACCTCTGCTTTCTTTCACAACCAGCACTGCCTGAACACGATGCAGGGTTTCCTCAAGGCCCAAGAGCCGCACGGTTGCACGCATTCATGGGCAGCTTAAGGTGGCTCTTTTGTGTGGAAATATATTCTGTGCGAACCTGAGGCAGGGAAAGGACCCGTCTCACGAGGCATCTGGGTTTTGGGTGCAAGGATGCTTCGCACCGGGAATGCTGTTCAAGTACGACAACGCCTTTTACGTCTGCACGGGCAAGACGCCAGCGGTGCTGTATGTCGCCAAGATCAATTGTGCTAGTTGCAACATTGAAAACATGTTGTTCCGTGCTTAACCTCACACTCGTGCACCCGTTCTCATCTGAGGCTGTGCGGCTGAAGCAACTCCCGTACAAGTTTGCCGGCCCTTTGCCGGAGCAGCAAGCCGACGAGACGCGGGTTCCTTGCAAAAGCCGAGATGAGTGGTGGGACCCGCTGGTTCAAGGGATGACCACACCGGCCCTCACCCTCGACATCGGCAGGCGATTCAGGGAAGTGCGGGCAGTTTTTGAGCGATAGAATTTAGAACGTTCCCATCAACTGTTGCAGGGCCTTGATCCATCAGCTTCGCTTTGACTATGACGATGCCGCTTGGCATCAAGTCCAAAACCTTGGCTCGTTTCAATGCTTGCCTGTCAATTCAAGGTGGTCTTGTATGGATACAGCCTGCACGTGTGCGACAAGGCCTTGGAGGACAAGTGCGGGTCAAGCCTCCTTTTCCGAAGGGGGTTCCAGGAGTTTAGCCTGCTGTGCTATCTTGTGCAAAGCCAAGAGATCCTGCAGACTTCAAATGCATCGCTCACTGAGCTGCTACACAAGAGCGATGTTCAGATGGCGAAGAACAGCACGAAGAATCAAAAGATCAGGCGGCTGCTGTCGCTGGAGTCGGTGAAGCAGGCATGCGGCGAGGAAAGGCTGCAGAAGCTTTTCGCGAAGCTGGACGAGCAAGATGCGAAAAGAAAGAGAAAGGAGAACAAGGAGGAGGAGCAGCAGCAGCCTGAGGCATGGGTTGGGCCTAAAGGTGTTGTTGAGGGCTTCGGTGTTTGTTTTTCGCTGCATTGACTTTGTAGCTCCCCAGGGCGACATCGACTGGGAAGAGCTCCAGGATGATCCTGCTACGGCAGCTTGCAGACAGCTCTTGTCGAGACTCGATGAGGAAGAGGCACAGGAGACGACAAGTGTAGCATCCATTCTGTATCTTTCGGCTTCGACGAGAATCGCTAAACTCATTCACTGCACGCATAACTTGAACGAGTAATCAAAACACCCCCCAGGATGCCGCGGGCTTGAGCGAGGATGCCGAGGCAAGGCCTCGGGATGTTGACATGGAAGATGCCAACCGAGCATCGCGAGCCTTCTTGTCGAGTTCTACAATGTCTCTTCCGGAGAAGCTCGTTGCGGAAATGCCAATCCCGGACGGCTGTGCTATGCATTGCACAGTTCATTGCGACCATACGCTTCCGCACTTTCAAGGGCGACTGCTCAACAACCAGTGCTACGAAGGGAAGTGACTTGGAGTTCACTTCATCATTGTTATTCTGCGGTCTTCTTCAGTTTGATTCAATATAGTAGTTTTGCTCAATCAATCAGAACAATATGATAGACCCGGTTCCTTTGTCCTAGGTCGTCCCACGCCGCATCGTTTAACCCAGCTATCGATGCAAATGCTTTGGACAAGAGAAAGTCAAGCTTGAAAAGCATCTCGGCGGCCAATCGGTCGAGAGCCCAGGCCTACTATATAGTATGGCATTGGCTTACAAAGGCCACAAGTGGCAGAGCTGCGAAGCGGCAGCGAACGAAGTGACACATGTGATCCCTCATTTCTTAAAGCAGCAAAACACAGCACCATACCTCAGAGAGCATCGCATGTGCAAAGTTCGGTTTCAGAGCTGTGTGAACACGGTGCGATGGGGCGCAAAAAGAGACGGCCGAGCGAGCACCATGACATCTTGGAGGCACCCAGGGGGGGCGGGAATGCATAGTGAAACCCTTGA